AGATNAATCCTATAATTTTGCCAAATCGTGATGGTATCAGGTATGTGGTTTATTTTCTCCCCTATATAATCTTATAATTGATTTATTTGTGTTCTTTAAATTACTGTTTTGAAAACGTTTTTTAATGATTTTATATGTGGGTTATAATCTACCCTAATTGTTTTCTTCTTTATAGTTTTTGGCATCTTATTCAAAGTTAGATTTAACACCTTATAGTTTTTCTATTCATATATATGTTTTTGGTTTTAAAAATTTCTTTGGTTCGTTGATGTTTGCTGTATATTTTACCATCGTCGAGCATAATTGTAAAGCCATGTATGTTTCTTTTTTTGGTATACGTTTAGGTTTTATTAAGATCCATATGTTTTTAAAATATCATTTTAAAATTTGCAGCATTAAAAACCATATCATCGAGTGGAAGTTCAAAGTGTTCATCAAAATTCAAATCAATGACTCCAGGGTTGTACGTCCATGAGATCTAACGTCTATCTTTACTTTTATTCTCATAACTGAGTATTTTAGTATTTTGTACGGAGGGTTTAGTGCTATTGCAACTGACCATTCATTCTCACTGTGTTGTGTGGTTTTGAACTTGCGGCTTTTGAGTGGTGCCTTGATGTGAATTCGTTGAAGGAGCAAAATAGGAATAACAAAAGTTGATAAGACAAATAGAAGAACATGAAGCACACCAAACGCATATCGTCATACAAGCAAGAGAAATAGAATAAGGCTAAGAAAAGATAGGCAATTTTATGAGTTTGTTTTGCTGGTTTTTGGGCTAATGTAAGAGTAGTTGTTTCACTAAAACTACATAGCTATGGAAGTGAAAAAAATCTCTTGGAAAAATCTCAAACAAGAGTATCTCGAAATCTAACAAAAGCTCATTTCTTATTATTTCTTCATATTATTAAACTTGCTTGAGTTGTACGTATCAGAGAAGTTTTGTGGAGGCCCAAGCCGATGATAGGATTTTTAGATCTTTGGGTTAAAGAAATGGTGGAAGGCTTCCTATGTTATTGTTGAACTCATCTCTGCCAAACGCGTTAGCACATGTATTTGTTTTTAGTGTAGACCAATCTGATCTACAAGAAAAATAGATCAATTCAACAAGGGATCTGTGTAAAAAAGTAAGTCACCATGTTATACATATATAGTCACCGTATCGTTGTCTTTAATGGCATAGATATCCCTATCTTGCTATCTCGGCTACCTCATGGTTCCCTATAGCTATATTGTGTTTTTAATTGGCATTCTTTATAAAACTCAAAGATTTGGTTTGTTTTTGGTCCATGCACATGTACAAACACCCGAGGTTGGAAAAATATCCACCCAAGATGAGCGCAAGGCGTATGTTGAAAAGTTTGATGAGACATGTGATAATAGTTCGGATTATAAAGTTTTTCTTAAAAAGAGTTCTTTATTATATTTTGTGATACAATATTTGGTAAAAATCTATTTAACAACCTATTTCTTTCTTTTAACTTTCGTG